TTCGCTTGACAGATTATTCGGGGTTTGATTCACTCGTATAAATACTACAGACGTATCGAGGAACATTTTAATGACATCTTATAGAAAATTATCTATACATTAGTAGAAAACTAGACAAACCCTTTCTATGAGAATGTGAGTTGAAGATCAACATATAACCCACTTATTGTTGACATTAATCACATTTAAAGGATTTTACAATGTTAAACGGTACTATATGATCAACTCAGAATACAGTCGAATAGTTTTAGTCTTTTAGATAAATAACTAGTCTAATATATGTTGATCATTTGTCCGCAGTGTGAAAATGTCTTTATTATTCAAGGAACGAAATAACCTCATTGATTTGTTTTCATCACTAAGTTCCCTTTTTCTTATCTTTTCTTCAATCCAAATTATTTCCTGTTTCCTGATAAAAACACTTTTACTTGGCTCAAGAATTACGTCTTACTTTTTTTAATGAATTCTAATGACTAAATTAATAGAAAAGCAATTTATAATTCAAAATTATGTTAGGCCTAGACTCAGCATTATAGCAATGATACTCATTTAATACAACCCAATAGACAGTTTTCATCTGATTAAAATTGATGTGCTAATGTTGGTTTTACATTTAAGTTTTTATAAAACAATGCGTTCAACGAAAGAATATTTTTTTCAACAAGTTTATTTTCAAATCTAAGGTTTCGGGATGTGAAATGTACAGTGTTCAAGCTACAGAACACCAGATATAGGTCAGCATACATATTGATTCTCTTAAGAATTCGAATAAAGCCAGGTTAACGAATAAAGCAGGATGATATGAATTTATTTTATTTCGTGGTTTCTCAGTAGGTTAGCTGCTTACAGACATATTTGTAACGAACTCTAACACTGAGGTATGATATAACATGAGGCAGTTGGCACTAATGACAATTAAATTTAGATATATGCGTCAACTGGTGTGAAGTCATCTGAATATTGAGATGGTGGAGAAAACTTGTAGCTCAGGTGGATGATTGTGGTGGTGTTTTGTTCTCTGAGCTGGTTGTTTTGGTTGTGTGTGTGTGGCACACAAACCAACAGAATCACTTCAATCAATCCTATGTAGACCAAAGGACAAAATGACAAAGGAAGAAAAACCAAATATCATCTACAAAATAACTTGCTCAAACTGTGAAAACAAAGTGGACGACCTCTTCAACTCCGTTTACGTGAACACCAATCAGCAGTCAAACGCCACGACAACGTTTTGCTTATATCAATACATACCGACAATTATGGACACATATTTGATTGAAACAATGTGGAAATACTGGGTAGGGAGAGGACAAAGAACACTAGGGAATTTTTAGAAGCTTGGCACTCAGGTCAATCAGCAATCAACAAACACATCGACATTGACTCAATTTACCAACCAATCAGGAAAATCATAAGTGACATAGGATCAAGAAACAGATCAAAAGAGGGATGCAATCAAAACAAAGGTGCAAACAACGACAGATTTAAGGTCAACAGCAAGCAATCAAGATCGGGGTTAGCAGAACAAGCTACAGGTCAAACATGGAGCAATTCTAATGCTTCACTTCTATCTGAAGTTTGTGCTGATGATGTTGTTCAGAAGAACAATGAAACCTTCACAACCAAAACACCCAGCTCAGAGAACAAAACACCACCACAGTCATCTGAATATAGAATTCAAAAAAAAAATTCTTTAGAAGGGATTGTGACAAATCTTTTAAAATCCAGAGAATAATAAGATGAATCATATAACAACTATACAAGCCGTAACGCGTTGACATAAGTTATAGATCATTTGAAAATAACTGTAAAATATTCAAACCGATGAAGTTACATTTGTCTAGATCTAAAAATTGGAACTTTACGCACATTAGTAAGCAAGATTCGTAATTTACGAAAGTTTAAGGAAATAAATTAATGAAATGATGGTTTGGGCGTTTATTAAATAAGAGTTAGTTTAGCTAAGATTACAAAACAAAATAAGCACTAATAATAATGAAAATAATAATAATAATAACAATAATAACGAAATTACCATTTCGAATTATATTTCTAAAAACCCGCTTCTATTATTTGCAACTCAAGGAAAATAGAATTACTGCGATTCCGTATGAGTCTGTTAAGCTATGATTATTTTATTAATAATCACCGTTAAAAAATTTATGTTTATAAGGGAGTGGTATTCTTTTACGTAAGATGTAATTTTTTCAGCCATAGACTAGGTTTTACCCCATTTTCTATCGCTGATTGAGATTTAAGGTTTTAGGAGGTGCATTCATTCCCGTTATCAAATGATAATTATCAAATCAAATTTATTTCCGCTTACTAGGACAAAATCCTCTCAGTCATATCAGTATGTGAGACTAGTTCCCCTGTTATCAATTAATCATCATTGCAGACCTGAATAAACTAACTGAAATAAACTCAAATACTAGATGGAATTCTGATTTTTCTAGCCAACATATTAGCTAAGTATTTTATGCTCTTACTTACAGCTGCTACGCATCGTGGAGTATGAGTCAGCATAATGTGTTATTTGGTCCTCCCCTACCTTTCATATTGACTATTCCAAGTTAGGGCTTACGTCGTGACGCACTGTGGGTAATTTCCGTATAGTGTCTCCTGTCCACTTTCAGTGCTCTTTCCTAATTTCCTCCTCAGTTATAATCTGGTTTGTTCTCTCTCAGAGTAGGTTGTTGCTGATAGTGTCTGGCCAACGGATCGCTGGTATCTTGCATAGACAACTGTTAATACGTACTGGTATCTTTTGGTTGATGGCTTTCGTAGTTCTCCAAGTTTTGGCTGCCTTCAATAAAACTTTTAACATTTGTATTGAAAATTCCGACTTTGATATTGGTTGACAGTTATGGATGTTCTTTGCTTATAGAAATGTAGCACTAACTTCTTTATACATGTCTTCAAATCACCGTCACATCAGTGATTTTGCCCAGATATGTAAGGGTTCTCTCATCTCCAAAGGCTTCTCGATCAAGTGTGATTTTGTTGTTGTATGTTGTGTTTTATTTAAGGGCCTGTTGCTACAGGGTTCGCTCCTACACTGACCGTCTCCATCTGCGTTTGTAATATACAATATCCGAATCGTTTTGTCGCACCCAAGCTGTCTACTGTATCACTTATTTCCCTCTTGAGATTTTGAAGACCTCATAATCTAAGCATTCTTGTAGTACAGGAAATTTATTGTTCCATAATGATTCGTATTGTGGCTACTTGTTCGAAATTCGATCAAAACTTAAAGAATCCGTCTGATCTCAAAGTCTACGGAATGTTTCATTTGGCTCAAAAACATTCTGTCAAAGACTTTTCCTAGTGTCTATAGTAGTGTGATACCTCTTTAGTTCTTGTAACTACTAAGATCTTTCTTTGGCATGTTGATGTGGTGTTCTTCTTTCCAGTCTGTTGTTACCTGTTATTCCTCTCAAGTCTTGCATCTTCTCAATTACTTCTACGTTTCCTTTCAGTGCCTCAGCTGGTTTGTTGTCTGGTCGGTCTTCATTTATTTGATGGCCATGCTGTATTATTCGATCCTTGGTGCGTTAACTTCAGTTGAGAGTTCTGTAGGCGCTACTTCAATGCCCGGTGGGTTCAGTGGGACTAGTTTATCTTAGAGTTCTTCAACGATGTCTTCAGGTTTGTTTTAATTTCAAATCCACTCAGTGATGACTTTTGTTGATATTTTCTACAGAGTTTTTCATATAGAAACTTGACTAAAATAAGAACAACAAGGATAGTAGAATAAGGTGAATTTGTTTGTTTTGTGGATTCTCGTCAGGTGTTTACATCTTGGACACATCGGTAATAACTAATTATAACCAATGTACAAACTTTAAATGATATTAATGAAGATTATTAAAATAACCACACAGTCAGTTAGTCAGCTACAACGTGGAACTTCTTAAATACCTTTATCAGTTCAACTTGCCATACCACATTAGCACAAAGAGATCGAATTGTGAATCCAAATTGCATGGAAGCAGAGGTAGCAGAAGTATTATCATTAATCAAACAGTTTAGGGATCGAAGATTTGAGTCGAGAAGTAAATCCCAGTGAAATAAATTTAAAAAGAGAAAAAAAAAACATAATTCATCAAACAATTATGAAGCAATACAGTAGATGAATATTTGTCCGTTACTAACTGTGAAAATCGAGAAGAATAACTAACGAACACATGGAGACATGTTTCTTTAGAATGAAAATTGATCTCAAAGTTACATAATAACAAACACAATATTGAATAGAGTTGTAGAATAATATGAGTTGAACCTAAAAAAGCCACAAAATTTGAGAAAACAAATTACTTAATAAATTCATTCTGATTTGAATATTCTTTTTGTTATAGAGTTAGTTACAATACACTGCTAAAGTTATACTCAGTAAATCCTGTACAATTTCTTTCATTCTCTGAACAGATGCCTTTGAATTAGCTAACTTATAATGTTTATAATCCTTCATAGATTTGAATTCTTTTTACTCAAAACATACGGTACAGAAAATTCCATCAGGAACTGATGGAATGTTAGATCAATATTTTGCGCTAGTCAGTTACAAAAAAAATCATTAGAGTAAGTAATTTAACATAATAAAACATTTTTTTAATGACATCACTATATGGAACACAGAAGTGATATTCATTTACGGACTCGTAAATGGCCATGAGTTTTTGAAATTTAAACTAATACGCTAATAATGGTTTACGTAATCAACATAGTTTTGGCAAATGTTCTTGTAATTCTGAAGCAACTAATGATATCGTCAACGTTAATTGTGTTGAATTTATACATAACTACCATATAGACCGATATCAGTGTTAGTCATTTTGGTAACAAATCTTATTTGTTCCAAACGGCCATTTAATGTTGATTGATACATAAAAGTTTCAAAATTATATAAATAACGAAAATTAATAAATTCAGTCATTCACTAGTATGTGAAATTTTTTGGCTGCCCAATAATTAGTTGGTTTTTGTGAAAAATCAGGATATTAAGTGATACATATAAAAATAGCATTAATGAAACACAAAACGGTAATCAAACAACTAATAACTCCCATAATCAAAATACTTGATTCACTCATAGAATTATCCACATATTGTTTTAATGTTGTACAAGCTATAGCAATGGTGGTTATGGATGGAAGTATACTACACACAACACTGGTTGCTTGCCAAATTTCTGAATTGGTTAATCTAGTGGCTAAATTTGCACCAGCTGTCAGAACTAATAAACCTGCAGGTATATATCCAAACGGTATTAGGTTTGAAGGCCAAGCCATATCTGATTCTATAGGAACACAGTATGAAAATATTGTTTGTAAAATAGCCAACGTGAGACTTGCACATATTATCAAACAGGAAAATAGTATGTAAAAGAATACGCCTTCGGTTGGTTCACATTTTGTTTGGTAATTTCCCATATTTTGATCTAAAGTTATGTAAACCAGTTATTTTTTACCCTGTATGAGATAACTAATAGTTGAAAAAATAAAAGAAAAATAGTGGATATGATAAATTAAATATCAAGCAAAAATTTTGGTAATCATTAAACTAAGTAACAAATTGTTTTTCTCGGCGTTTACATGAACTAAACATGTTAGATTCACCTCATACCAGTAGTATTGAACATTCAATCTTTTTGTAAAAAAAAAAGTTGACGTTAAACATGATTAGTTGTATTTATATCAATTAATTGCAAAGGCGACAGCATATTACAAAATACTTAACCAAGATTAGTCGTGAATGATCGTTTTTTCTATCAAAGATAACATTGATATACTAGACATTCCGCAGTTCGAAAAATTGTTGAATATTGCTAATTAACCTTGACTGTAAAATATATCTCAGTCACTGAGTCAGTCAGATGCAACGTAGAACTTCGTACGTAAGTACATCAGTTCATGTCGCCATACCATATCAGCACAGAGATGTAACTGTCAATTCAAATCCAATGGTAGAAGAGGTAGTAAAGGTATTAGAAGTAATCGGAGAGGTTAGGATTAGAAGATATTATTCAAAAAGTATGATTCAGTGAGAAAAGTTTACAAAGTCAAAACTAGAGGTGTTGAAGAATCCAGAAGATTAGGATTTGAGAGAACACAAAGAATAAATGCACCGGCGCCATTGCGAACGATTTTGAGCCATGTCATTCGTGGTCTCTAACCATCGATTATTATCATCTCACGGACCCCAACCAGGTAGTCGACAATTACCGACATGACTAAGTCCATTTGTCGATGACTTCATGGATTTCTGCCATGTTTTGGTTTACCGCCCCTAACTTTCTTCCAACTTACTCCTACACTACAAAACAGTCGGTGGTCAGGCATACGCAGCACATGTCCCAACCACTTCAACTGATGATGTTTCATTACTTCATCTATTGATCTGCCATTCTTACCTACTTTTGTTTTTCTAAACTTACCCCACTTAATTATACTTCTTGAATAATATCTCCAAATCCTAATCTTCTCCATTACAAGTAATACTTCTACTACCTCTACCACTATGGGATTTAAATGACAATTACGTCTCTGTGTTGATGTGGTATGGCAACGTGAATTGAAGTACTTACGTACGAAGTTCTACGTTGTTTATTTATGCATATTTGTATTGTTCGATATAGTTGGATAGACACAAAAATATAAAAGTGTTACTGGTCGTTGCGACATCTTCAATTAATAAGTAGTTCATTAATTAAACTGACAGAAAACTGATTATTTGTATCAATATTCATATCATCTATCAGTAGACAGTTTTAATCATGTTGTCTTGAGAATACCGAGCTTTTTTATTTTATCGAATATCACTTTTAATATTAAATACATTTTTAAAGAAAAGATATTAATCAGATTGTTCTGAAAAATAAAATTTCTTCCTGTCACTTGAGGTTACTTTTGAATCAGTAGGTAAGGAGAAGATATGATACATGAGATTACTTTGAAATTTAAATAGATATAAATATCTCACTGATTGCCAATATAATTTTATAGAATTGTTGTAGGTTTGTTATATGTGCTACTGAACCTATTTTTAAATTCTTAATGATTGTACATTTTATTCTGTTTGTACCAATCATCAATGACTGAGAATATTGTTTACCCTCCCTTCTTTATTTACTGAACTAACATGCTGCTGATTTATATAAAAGTAATGGTTGAGCACATATGAAAAACCCTTTTCAATCATCGAATACACTCAATCTTTTTTAATGTGATTACTTCTGTTGTTACCGGTTTCTTGTAGTTAGACCTTAGAAATATTTGTAAATGAGAGGATTATACAGTCTATAAATCACATGTAGCTACCAAAATAAAGTATCGTAATTTTTAAAACTACAGAACATTCCTTTACTTGCACCATCTGATCTTGCTCAATCCTTATTTTAATGCTTTTTCTGTTTGATAAACTCAAATAAACCACTGGTTCGTAATCCAATAGTTTACATTTTCAATTTCAGTCAATCTGAACTATACCTTAACAAAACGATTTTCCACTAATCTTTAGTTTACAACGGTTCTTCCTGTGATAGAAACTAGCTTCAAATCACATTACTATTTGAAAAGGAAATAGTTTGTGCATTCTGTGCATTGTTTATGTGAACTGAATTAAATTTTATTATTTACAAAATTCAAATGAAAAAAGCCTATAAGAAAATATTGATATTACTTATCCAAAGTTTAAATTTAAACGAACTCTAACTCACATATCGAAAAATCGTTTTCTTATGTTCACTGATCAAAGTTACTTAGAAAACATCCATTCATTTTTGATGTTCTACGAAAAACTAGTTTAGTTCATATAGTGTAGATTTTTCGGGGATTTTAGGTTCACTGAATTGGATAGATCAGTTATGAAAAATAAATTACTACTTTAGAAGAAATGATCCATAACTGCTTTGGAAAGAATTGACAATACTGAATTTGTTAATCGAGATATTGTTAACAATGTATAACGATTTTTATTCGCTTTTCATTGAATTTCTTTACGGATATCAAATTAAACAGAATATGTGAGTTTTTTTTATACAGAAAATATTCAACCACATATCAGTGTATATATATATACCAATGTATCAATCAAATAATACTCACATATATTTAAGTGTTAATCTGGAATGTTTATTCGCCTTAACTCGTACTGATAAAAATACTTTTTCGTTGTATACAACCAATCCAGCAAAAAAATTAACTGATTTACAAATGGTCTGCTTTCACTAAACTTTAAGTACATGTGATACTTATTCATTGGAGAAAATGCAGAACGTGAATAGTAAAGCACTTAACCTATAAATTTATAAAGATTATCACATAATCTGTATTACTGTAATCATTTTCATAATTCTTTAGCTCATAAACGTGCATAACAAACTTAATAATTAACCTCAGATTAGTACAGTGAAACTATACATAGAATAATCCAGTAGGAATAATCTCACCCTACCATTTAGGTTATCCAGTTAAATTTTTGTATTATTTCACCCTATATCTGAAAATAATTTCTTGGTAAATAATCGTGGTTGAAAGACGCATTAAAAATTATCCGTAACCAATGTTGACTTTGTCAAGATCGTGTTTCGTACCTTGAATGACATAGCTTTTAATGAAAATCAGGAGGACAATGAAACAATTTTTCTTGTTGTTGCATTAAAATTATTCAAGTGACTGTCCAAGTCTTATTTGGAATTATATTTGGAGGTGGATATTTCTCAAAAGTGGTAGCTTATGATTCCTGTATGAAATTGAAATTGCTTTCTACGAATGAGCCCACTGTATTTGCAATAAAAATACACAATAGTAATGTTTATTCAAGATCTCACCTGCTTTCAAGAGCTGGTTCCTTCGTACCTATTGCAGTGAGATTTGGACAATGTTCAAATTTCTAAATACACTGAATTTAGTACCATTGTTTGTTTTCAAAATCCAAACCATTTTACTGCATTTAGGTTTGAAAGGAAGTATTTAGTCGGAAATTTTAGTAAAACACTTGATGACTACAGTAAGATTGAGCAGTGATAAGTATTCTGGTTTGAAGGTTATCTCCTAAAAAACTGTGGAAGTTTCTTACCATGTGCATCGAGGCACTTAGCACAATCCGTTGAATGATGTACATCCTGTGTATTTGTCAATTAAGGGATTTCCTGCTTATTTTCAATACTGTACTGTCCTGGTTACTTGACTGTCACTTCTAAATTTGCAGGTTATACAAAATACACTATCATGTAAAATTGCATTTTTGATTACAGTTTTCATTCCGTAGATTTGGACCATCTGGATAACAAAGTACTAGTAAGCGATTTAAAACTTTATATTTTAGGGTCATGATAACTACCACGTAGCAGATATAAATCAATCTTGTAACCTGTGGAACAATGACACTTTTCTGGTCACTACGAAATTTTTTTAACACCGAATACTGTCACTCAGTATGATGTCATTAGAAATAAATGGATTTCAATGTTGCAACACAGTATGCCTGGAAAGTTCACCAAATATATCATCTAAGAAATTTCAAAAACTTGTATAATCGTTTTCCATCATCCCTGTCAACTTTTCATTGAATGAAGGTAAGTCCTAATAAGTTTATTGCTTCAATGCTAAGATAAGTAGTCATGTAACTGTAATGTTTGTACACTAAGTAGATAATTAGGTGGCGTTTGGAGTAAACGGTACTGGGTTCCAGTCTCAGAGTATTTATCAACTGTAGGATATGAGTACATTCCGCTGAGGAGTTCCTTTTTCGATGAAACCTACATCCTGGATTACTTCGCTTCCCATAATCCGTCTATTCCATATAAACTTCTAACATAATGCTATAGTGAGACGATACTCATAGGACACCACTACGTCAACCAATAACGATAAAATTACAGCCAGAATTTCAACGACGGCATAGTTCAAACCATTTCAAATGTAATTAACAAAAAGTCATTGTTTTAAAAATGGTGTAAAAGTTCACTGTTTATTGATACCATCGATGACTATAAATGTGTTTTTATTCCACTGGTACAGCAGCGATTGCTTCGTCTCGAGAAAGATAGTTTTTGGAAGGATTGTTGTTGAAACTCATTCAGAGTGTGGAGCGAACTCAAATATAGATTTAATTTAAACTTTCAGACTTTGAATCATCTAACTACCTATAACGCTGTCTTTTGGATGTTTATGCATCTTAGTGTTGTTGTTAGATGAGTACATTTAGTTTCCGCTAAAATTCGTTTTGGTGTAAATTTTTAGCGTTGCCGTTAGGTAAATTATAGTGTCTAGTTTTACTGACTGTCATTGTTCACCTCGATAGCTCCCAGTTGCAACTTGACAAACGGTATTGACAAGAACAAGAACATTTTTTTCAACGAAAATAAAAAATTGAGTAATACTGCGTTTCCAAATACAATAGTTTAAACTTTTGTAAATGTAAAATTAAC